CTAGAGCTGGCCTTAAACTTGTGATCCTCCTGCCTCAGCCTCCTGAGTTGCTGGGATCATAGGCGTGGTTTGCCTTCCTCATTCTTATCTCGGTCTCAAGATTTCAGTCCCCCACACCCAAGCAGAAACAAAAGCCACTTCTTTTTATGGAAGGGTCTAGGGAAGGGATGAGGAGCTCTGTCCCTGGGCAGCTCTGTCTAGGGCAGCCTCACTCCCAGGAAAGGCTATGAACTGCATGCAGTCGGTAGCCTTCCTGCCCCAGTCACAAAATGGGAAACTGAGGCTTAGGCCAGGGATGTGTCTGGCGCCGGGTCCCAGGCTAGGTGACTCTCATGGCACTTCCTCCGACTGGTCAGCAGCACAGTAGAGGTGCTGGCAGAAGCAGCAGGAAGTGCCTGGAGAGAGAAGCAGCCTTGAGGGAAAGGGCAGCTGGTGATCAGTCACTGTGGCATCACCTGAGCATATCCTCTGCCAGAAAGGTGATCAAGATGCTCCACCCCTCAGCCCTTAGCTGGGACTTCCCCACTGTATAGACATGACAATGACCAGGACAGGGCCACTCAAAGGGGCAGGGCGGGGACTGTGTTTATCCTTAAGGTGACTACCTATCTCGTGGATAACCACAGAGTCACTAGGCTCTAGGACTGGCTTGGTACCCATGTGAAAGACCCTAGGCCTCAGTTTCCCCATTCGTCAGCTCCTGATAGACTCTACTGGACATAGGGAAGAAAGCCATGGGGAGAATGAGCCCCCAACCTGACAGCCCCTCCCTGTCTGTATCCAGCGAGGCCACTCAGGGGAAGCCCCCAGAGCCCCAGCTCCTGGCTGGGTCCCTGGGCTCATCTCTCCTTCCGGGTTTGTGTTAGTGAGTGGTTGCCATGGAGACTGGTCTCAGCTTCTTTGGCAGAAAAGGACTCCCCCAGGGCAGGGCTCTGCCTCTTATCACCAGTCCCCACTCCGCCCAACTCCAATGCCCAGTGTGTGGTGGGCTGGATCAAAGGGAAAGAAAATAGGTCTTGGGAAGGGAACAGGTGCCTCCGAAAAGTTGGGAAAGAATCTCAATTCTCCAATAGTCATTCACCAACCATAATTAGGGCCTGGACCAGCTCCCTCTTGCTGGGCCTGTTTCCAGGAGCAAAATGCTACCACCTACACCCTCAGTTCTGCTTCCATTTTACAGATGGCAGAATGGGATCCCGGGGGCAGAGGCCGCTCTGGCATCAGGAAGCAGAGCTGGGAAGGGAGCGGGTGCTTAAGACCCTCTGCTGAGGGTCTTCCTCCTTCCTCTGACCTGGCAGCCATAGGGGACTCAGAATACACAGTGGGTGGCTGCTGGGTTGGCTGAGCCAAGGGAGCCATGTGCCCTAAGGGAACTCAAACTGCCTGAACTAAATAGAACCCAAATTCACCTGTCCAGGAGGGCTCTTGCCCTGGCCAGCAGAATCTCTGAGCTTCCAGATCAGAAGCAGGGGATATGCCCTACCTCCACCCAAGGTTCCTGGAGCTAGAGAGCCTGCTGCATTGGGGCATGCCGTGTGACCCTGGGCAAGTTCCTTTGTTCTAGGCATCAGTCCCCTATCTGCATAAGGAGGTAGAGGGAAGGATTTAGATGAGATTTCTAGGCTACCTCAATTTCATCCAACCAAAGCAATGCTCAAGAAGAAAAGGGAATGGGTACCCAGGCCTCCTCACCTGGGTCTGAGGCCGGCTGCCCTCAGGGGGTTCTCATGGGGAGGTGGAAAGACCATAATTAACAGGATCGCTGGGTGGCGCTGGGTGGCGCTGGGAATGCTAGGGCAGAGGCAGAAGCCACTCGGTTCCCAGGATAGAGCCCAGCCCTGGTGCAAAGGGAGGAGCTAGCAAAGGTGTCTGAAAGGGACTATCAGACAGAGAAATGGGAAGGACATTCTAGCTGGGGACACAGCTTGAGCCTCTGCATGAAAGAGAAGGCAGCTGACATTTGTAAAGCCTTCAGAGCTATCTGGCCTAGTCCCAGGTGCTTTGGATACATTCTCATTCATTCCACACAGCCCAGGAGGTTGAGATGATCCCACAGAAGGCTCAGGTGATGACTGCAAGGTCACGCAGCTGGCCAAGCTGAAGAGCGTGGACTCTAGACCAGTACTGTCCACACTGGTGACCCCCAGCCAGCTGGTGACTGTCCACTGTGACACTGACGTGTGCTGAGAAGGTAAATTATGCACTGGATTTCAAAGACAGTATAAAAAAATGCAAAATATCCCAGTAATAAATTTGATATTAATTACACATTGAAATATGTTGGATACATTAAGTAAAATATATTATTATTTAATTGTATCTTATTTCTTTTTTAATCTGGTTATAGAAAATTTGAAACTAATGTGGCTTGCATTATATTCCTCTTGGACAGAGCTGGTCTATACCATAAAATAAAGAAATGCACAGGATAAATATAAAGGAGAGTGGGAATTCCTTCCTTCTTTGATGGGGCCCAGTTGTGAGGTTCTCAGAGTCCAAGTGGGCAAATATCAAAGGTGACTGAACAGCAGAGTACCTGCATCCTGCCTCTGTCCCAGGAGCCAACAGGTAGACACAGGCCCTGGCACAAGGAACATAAAGCCATAGTAATTACCATAGAGACGGTTAATGTTCCTAAAAAACTGAACTTGGGGGCAGTGGGAGGGAAGTGTCCCATAAACAGAGAGGTAGCCAGGCTTATCCGGAGAGGAAATCAGCACATGTTATGTGCTGGGGGCGGGGTGGTGCATGAGCCCCAGCCCTGGGCCTCCACAGAGCAGGATGCACAGCCCAAGCTGGGTGTTTGCCCAGGGCTTTCCGGGCCTTCCTCCCCACTGCCCCACACCCCTCTTAGTCACCTATTCCCATCCCCCTGACCAATTCACCAGAAATTAGCTATCTTGTTCCCCCATTCTGACAGTCTAACCCATGTAGAGGTAGGAGCAGATAAGCACCAGACCTCCTGATCCCACCCTCTCCCCCTGGCAGAGTCAGTTCCCTCAAGAATATCAGAGGGGGTGGTCTAGAGCCAGAAAAAAAAAAAAAAATGAGTCGGAAAGTGTTACAGTCCAGATCAGCACCACTCGTTCCTCAGCTGGGAGAGAGTGGGGAGACCTCCAGACAGACTTACTATTAGATCTAACACCACCTTTGTTGTCCACCTTCGGGGCCATCTTGGATGAGGGCCTGTCCAGGGGCCTTGATTCCCCCATCAAGGTGTACAGAAGGTATACAGAAGCCTATTTTGCACCAATTACAAGTCCCCGATATTCTCTAACTTCTCCCCACAGGGTGGCACCTAAGCTCCTAGGCAGAATGGAACAAGTACGACAGGGTCAGTACACTGGGGTGTTTTTGTTTGTTTTGGTACTGGGGATTGAACCCAGGAGCACTTTTTAATTTTTTATTTTGAGGCAGGGTCTTGCTAAGTTCCTGAGGTTCTCACTAGGTTGCTGAGGTTGGCCTTAAACTTGCAATCCTCCTCTCCTGCCTCAGCCTCCCAAGTCCCTGGAATGAATTACAGGCATGCGTCAACACACCCAGAATTTGGGGAGTACTCAATATTGCTCCTGTTCACCAGATCAAGGTAAGAGTCTCTTGGAGACGGCTCAACCCATTGGAGTACTGATACCACTAGTACCTACTTCCAACTCTCTCCAGTGGAGGGACAGAGAGCCCAAAGGGTTTTGCAAGCATGAATTGGGAGAAGGGGAAGCTTCTGCTCTCCCATTAGAGTTTTACCCTTACACTTGATACAATTCCATTCAACAGACAGGAAACTAAGGCCCAGAGAGAGGGACACCCAGGTGGCAATAATTCACTTGCCAATCATCCCTAAATTTTCTTTAGAGTCTATCCTAAACCTCCCTTTTGTTCTGTGGTGGCAGGTTCTGGGCTAGCATGCCAAATATCCAGAACTGCTCTCCTCCTGCAGGGAGCCTCCACCTATGCCACCCTGGCCAGATTCCTTTCCTCTCAGCACTATATCATTCCCAGTCGGAGGCCGATCCATCTAGGGCAAGTCCCTACTTCTTGACCCCTGAGAAGTCAGGGAGAGGAGCCAGCAGAAGGGAATCCCAGAACCGTCTCCATCCCAAGAGGGGTCAATCAACTCACAAATAGGGAGACAGACCTAAACATAAGCTGAGACTGGCCCAAGGTCACACACAAAGCACATTTGGGACAAATCTGGGATTAGAATCCTGTTGTTCTATCCATCTCAAGCCCATCTTTATCGCTGATTCCCAGGGGTGTTCACAGAGGATGAGGCCTCCCCTCTTTCGCCCCAGAGGCCGGTGCTGTGCCCCAGGCCCCAAGCGCCATAGAGCAGGGGGAGGCGTCTTCAGGCCTGTAGCCAGGGCCAGCTGCAAACCGCATCCAGGGTCCCCAGGCGCCGCGGACCCGCCCCGCCCCTCCCTCGGCTCCCCGCAGGCCGGAGCCTTTGTCAGCCACGCGCTCACAAGCTCACACACACATCCGCGCCGCCACGAGCGCACACACTTAGTCTCCCTGGCGCACACCCGCAAGGGGCGCACACACTCGCCGCACGCACTCTGGGTGGTGGAAGCGGCCGAGGAAGGAAAGAACTGACGGGCCCTGGATACACAGACGGTCTGGGCTAGGGGAAGACGAAGAGAGGCCCGGGAACCTGCGGCTGTGGCGGGAGGGGACGCAGAGGAAAGAACGCAGAGACGCAGAGGAGACTCGGAGAAGAGGAAAACGGAAGGGCCGTCAAGGGCTGGCGAGGACGCGCCGGCTGATTTAGGGATGGAGACTCGTCCAATCCCTGTCCCCTGGTTGTGTGTGGGGGTTTCAGATTAAACCCGAGGAGGACCGGGGCATCACTTGCTCAGCTGTGCCTGAGCATACAGTCCTTGGGGGACTCCACGTAGGGCTTGGATATAGGGAGCCTGGGACCAAAAAGCTCCCTAGGGTACTTCGTTGGGGCGGGGGGTGGGGGGGGATTCCTGGTCCTCGGGCTGGGTGGGGCACTTGCTCACCTGCCACGGTGTACCTGTCCAGGTAGTTAAGCACGTTGCCCAAGCTGAGGATGGCGGCAGCTGCCCCCCGCCCGCGGCCCAGGGTGGCTGGTTTGGGCTGCTGTGCGCCGGGGCCCTTGGCAGCGGCTGCGCAGCCGGGGGTGCCGGCGATGCTGGGGGGTCCGGACGGGGCCCGCCTCACACTGCCGGACAGCGTCTGCACCTCATCGTCGGGGGCCACGACTCCAGCGCTCCCGGCGCCCCGCGCCCCGCAACAACCGCTACCGCCGGCCCCTCGCTGCGCCCCCCGGCGCCGGCGCCGCCGCTCCGCGTCCGCCTCCTCCTCCTCCGCGCCGCCCGCCGCCGCCGAGGCGCATTCCAGGCACATCATGCCGGCCGGGATCGGGGCGGCGGGGGGCGCGGAGGCCGCGGGGCCCAGCTTGGGCCCTCTCAGTGCGTGCGTGCGCTGCGGAGCCGCCGCTGCACCATCCCGGCTGGGCCCCGTCGGCTTCTGAGCTCGGGCTCGGGCCCCGGCTGCGGCGCTGCCACTGTTCAGCCCGACGCGCCGCCGTCGCCGCGGCGGCTCTGACAGCTGCGGTCCGGACCCGCCCACCAGTTCCGCGCCCAATCAGCTCCTTGCTCGGTCCACAACCCCGCCCCGCACGTGCTGCCCCGAGGGGCGGCGGGGGGGCCTGGCCGCAGAGCCCCACCCACCTGACGGGGGCGCTGTCACGCTGGAACCGTGCGGCCGCGGAAGCCGGCTAAGAGCTGGAAGGGTTTTGCGGGGAGCTACCCAGCTGGGATTGGGGTGCTGGAAGCAGGAATCCCTAGCACCTACTCAGTAATCTCCACCCAATCTCTACCATGAGAGTGAATTCCTGGCAGAGACTGGGAGAGGACCGAGGGCTTAAGCCTAGGATATTTGGACAACCTGGAGAGAAGGATCTCAGATGGTCAAAACAGAGACACCTGTTGGAAAGCCTGTGGCTCTAATGGCTGCTCAAGCTCCATGATTCGCCAGCTCAGGGAGGGCTAAGTGATTGGTCAGGGCACATCTCAGGACCCAGACCTCCATCAGAAAGGCTGTGCTGCCTGCCTCCCCAGGGAAATACAGCTCCAGCCCCAAAACTACCGGAGCCCACTCGTGTGTGTGCACCCAGATCCTACCTATGTCTCACAGAGTGGCATTCCCAGGTAGAGAGACCCAGGGTTCCGATTAGGGTCCAACAGAAACCAGGACACTGAGGAAGAGCCTCCTTTCCAGACAATGTGATACAAGCTTATAATCTCAGATACTGATGAGGCAGGAAGATTGCGAGTTCAAGGCCAGTTAGGGCAATTTAGTGAGACCCTTTCTTTCTTTCTTTTTTTTTTTTTTTTTTTGGGGGGGGGGGGCTACGCGGGATGGAACTCAGGGGCACACGACCACTGAGCCACATTCCCAGCCCTATTTTGTATTTTATTTAGAGACAAGGTTTCACTGAGTTGCTTAGCACCTCACTTTTGCTGAGGCTGGCTTTGAACTCACAATCCTCCAGCCTCAGCCTCCCAAGCTGCTCGGATTAGTGGTGTGTACCACCCTGCCTGGCCTAGTGAGACCCTTTAAAAAAAATTGTTTGGGAATGTAGTTCAGTGATAAGGCACCCTTGGGTTCAATCCCCAGTACTGCACACACACACACAAATGGATAGGGGCCTGTTCTCCTGAAGGTATCACCTCCCCAGTCTTCAGACTTCCAACTGTGCACTGGGATGGTACAAAACAATTAAGGGAAGTCAGGAAACTGGGTCCTATCCCAGTGGTGTGGGCATGATCCTGGACAGGGCCCCTACCTCTCTCTGGGTCTCAATTCCTCTGTCGGGGGGTAGGTAAGAGGAGGGGAGACAGAGGGTCTGAAAGTGAGGGGTCACTGCTCTCTCCCAGGGAGGGATGGTCCTGTCTTCTCTGGATAGTGGCCAAGTAACCCCTGTGTTCAGAGCCACCATCACTGCCCTGACACATTTTAGAGGTTCTGTGATTCCTTTTTCTCCCCCATTATCTCTTTGGGATTTTGATTAAAAATAGAATCCTGTACAAAGTGCCGAAAACACAATGTTAGAACTGGACAGACCCTCAGAAACCAGATTTTTTCCCCCATTTTACAGCCAGGTCCCAGGGCATGGAAATGACCTCTGCGTGAACATGCAGCTAGTCAGTGGCAGGGATGGAGCTAACCCAGGGTTCTGCTATCCTGTAGAGTTGAGAGCTTATATCCTACTGCAGGCTTCTCTGGACCCCATGGCCACAAGCAGGTGCAGTTTATTGAAGTGTCAGCCACAGTGAGTCATGGCATAGCCAAAGGGTAATGCAGCATGAGGCACCCCACACATACACTGTCTCTGGTGAGCAGAGTTAATCCCCAAGCTGGTGTTTCTTGGCGCCTTCGAGGTGTATTTTAAATTCTGCAAAGTGACTAAAAATATGCTTCAGTGTGTTGGGTATGAATGACTGTGACAGGAGGGTTAGGAAAACAGATTTCATTCTGAATGTTGTCCGCTGCCTCTTGCCAGCTAGCTGAACTCAGGCCTGCAAAAGTCAGATGAGGGAAGTTCCACTGGGTGGCCTGTGATGACAAGTGATTAACAGGCAAGGACAGACCTAGGAGCTCCATGGGGAGAGAACTGGGCCCAGCCAGTGATCCTCAGAATGATGTGATGGTGCCAGCTTCAGGAGTGTCTGGCTGTGGGACCTACCCAGCTGAAGAGCAGTGAAGAAGCCACAGCCCTGGCACCGAGCCGCACCTCACGCTCCTGTTCCCATTCCCTCTAACTGCCCATCCTTTCCCCACAGCCCTGTCCAGGGGAACAGGACTTTCCCCTGGACCCAAAAGAGGAGCATTCTTTTTCCCTTTCCACTGCTGAATAGAAAAAAAAAAAAAAAAAAACCCAAGTTTTGAGTCTTTTGAATTTGGGGGAATTCTGAACTGCTACCAAGCAAGTCAGTCATTCCTTCTGTGTGAATTTCTCTGGAATTTTAACCCAAAGGCAGTTTTAGAGTTGGTCCTGTGTGGGATAAAGGACCACCAAAGGCAGGGTGATACAGAGGACAGTAAGCCTTTTCTGGCCATATAGCCCTGGGCAAATCACAGTGGTTTTCTTAGAACCTCTGGCAGTATCATAGGATCATTGGCCACAGAAGGGTTCTTATCTCTGTCTCACTGATGGAGACTGACGCCCAGGAAAAGAAGTAATTTGCCTAAGGTCTCATACAGAGCAAGTGATGGACTAAATCCACGTGTGTCTACCTCTTAACCCAGCACGTACCCAAATGCCCACAGTGCTGTGCTGAGCTGCTGCAGCAATGATTTTCCTATGGGTACAACAGGAAATGAGCTAAAGGGGCTTCTGATTGGGTACAAAACAAATGGGGCACAGGACATTCATGGCCATTATTTCAAGCACAAGTGTACTTGGGAAGTTGTAGGGCGAAACAGAGAAGAAAGTTTCCCAAGGGACTTTTCAGAGCCTTTACTATGAGAGTATATATTCTGGGTCTCTCAGAGGGAGGTTGAGATTGCCATGTGTTCACATGACTACAATTCCCCAAAAACATTCAGAAACACTGGCCTATAATGTACCAGATCCCCCAAGGCTGATAACTGGAAGTTCAGTCCACCTTCCTTCTGTCCATTCCCCCACCAGGGAGTGTCTCCAAGGTTCAGGCCTCAGTTTCTTCCCTTCTCACTTGGCACATGCTCTTTTGGAAGCCTCTCACCCACGCCGCCCAGGCTCTCATTAATCATCCATGTGCTCGTGACACCCCATCCTCCATGCCTCTCTATGTGCCTCATCTCCAAGCCCTAGATCCATATGCAGTCTCCTGCACACACCCCCTCCCTAGGGACTCTGCAGACACCTTAAGCTCAGTACATCCAAAACTAAATGCCTCATCCTTCCCCCAAACCTGCTCCCACCTTGGTATCATTTATCTCTCGAAAAGTGGCACATCACAAATGGTGTCAACAAGAAGGAGATTTGGGGGCCATTTGGGTCTCTCACTGTCACACCATCTTTTGGGACTCAACTCTCACATCTAGAGACACAATTTTTTTTTCCCAATGCCCCCACAGCCCACTAACATCTCGGACCTCTCTGCATCTCCCTGGACCCTTGTAAAGTTCAACATCACCATTTCCAGCATCTCCCTCTAGGCTTTTCTCCATAGTGCCTGCTGGTGACTTTCTCAATCACATATGTGACCCCATCACTACCTGGTACAAAACCTTTCCATGGATCCCAACTGCATATAGAATTATAAGTATCTAAGTTCCTTAATGCCATCTGCATGACTCTTTACAACCCACGACCCCCTAGCCTAGCTCCCACTTCCCCATCTCTCAAAATTATTCTCCACCACACTGAACACCAAGCCCCCTGAACTCAATTACAGCCATTATACTTTCTGGAGTCTGGGTGAGTGGCAAGAATTGGGTCACAGTCCTTGCCCTCCCCTTAACAGAAAAGCCCCGATCCTGTTAACCTAATGATGGTTCAGGACCATGGAGAGCGTCACACATGCAACCCCCTCCCCCGACCCTTTATTAGGACTCTGGCTAGCTGTCTACCTAGCTCCCTCCTCCCGCTGGTCCTTCAGAAACCCAACACAGACATGGCTTCCTCCAGGAAGCCTTTCCTGACCCACCTGAACAACCAGTCATTTCCTCTGGGCTCTTGAGTAACCTGTGCATCTGACTATGTTTTGTGCATCTGATTACGTTTGTATAAGAGGCCACCGGTACCACCACCCCCTGACAAACCATAAGCCTTGAGGGCCCATACCTTGTCTGATTCATCTTCAAGATCCAGCACAGAGGAGGTGCTTGGAGAATGTTTGTTGATTGAATGAGTAAATGACATTTAGCAGGTGCAGGAAATGTGTGTTGATTTATATCATGTATCTGTTGCTCTGAGTGACTCAGAAACCAGCCAGATTCCTTTCCTGACCCCTCTAGAAAAGGCATTTTCTCCCTGTCTGACTCCACCCTCCATTAGTCGCCACATGACATTTACCTCCACCCTTAGATTAGCCTTCCCTACAGGTCACCACCCACGGGTGGGGAGAAGGCACCTCTTCTCTGTTCCTGCTGTTACCAAGCAGAGGACTCACTGGAGCACCCCATTCCCCAGCCTGAGCTTGCCTCATAAGTCTTGTTCAGAATGCCTCATCGCTGCCTCTCTCTCGCCTGCTCAGAACAGATGGCGCTGAGTCCCCACTAACACAGAAGTTCCTGTTCTGTCATCTGAACATTTTTAACACTTTCTAAATTATAGAAATTTCAATCCCCTTTGATCATGGACCCAAAATAAATTATAGAAATTTCAATCCCCTTTGATCATGGACCCAGACAATCAGAAATGAAGAACCCCTTGAGGGACATTGAGCCCAGTCTCTTCTCATCCCATGAGAAGCTACATCCTAGGGAGGGTCCAAGGCCTGGCCAAGATCATTGCAGTGGACACTATCTTTGTTTTGGGCTTTTGACACTTTTTTCTTACATTGTTTTTTGTTTGTTTTTGT